GTCTTTAAAAGTAAAAAGAAAGCTCAAGTGAGCAAAGAAGAAATGACATAAAATAAATGCTCAAGTGAACAAAATGAAAATAGCATGAAATGTAAATGCTTAAAGGTAAATTACATAAAGTAAATACATAAAATAAATGCATAAGGTAAATGCATAAAGTAAATTTAATTGTTAATGATTAGTAAGTTAAGAGTTAAGGTCACAAAGTATGATCAATAATGATTGAATCATGAATATTGGACAAAGTTAATTAAAACTAATTAGAGGATTGATAGAATCAAAGCCTCCTAACAATAGGTTTGATAGAGTTTGAACCAAAGTCAAATAGTCAACCATCCTTGGGCTTGTAAACATCAAGTTTTAGGCCACGAATGATCATTTTCCGATTCGGGACAAATTTGGCACTACGTTCAGCAATCGTAAGTGGAATTATGTAGAACCCACACCTATTTTGAGGCCGGTCAATAATAATATTTGTGTTAATACATGCTATTGAGGATTTTCATCAACCAAAAATAAAAGGAAAGAGGGAAAGAAAAATCACATTGGATCACATCCTCAAAGGTCTTTCATCTTTAAGTTCAATCACTCATAATTGATGGATTAAAGCACCAAGAATGAATTAAATAATTCACTCTAAGATATATTTGAATTAATGAATATTTATCCAACTTCTTCTACATACTAAGTCCATTTAATTTGAAGAGAAATTAGACATTTAAAATTGTAATATAAAGCAAAAACTAAAAGAGAGTAGTTGGAAAATTAAAATGAACCAAAACAGTCCCAGAACAAAGCAAAAAAATGCATTATACCTTCAGGAAATCGATTTCTATTATAGGGGTAATCGATTTCTTGTGCTCATTTTTCGAAAATCAGGTGCAAAAACAGTTGAGGAAATCAATTACCCTAAAAGTGGAAATCGATTTCCTGAAGCAAAAACAACATTTTAAAAGGGAAAATTCTTGATCAAACTTTTTATCAAACACCTTATGATCTTGGATTTAATTGAGCACAAAAATTCATCAAATTGTGAGAAAATAACACCAATTTAATAAAAAAACTAGATCAAAGAATCAAACTACAAAGATCAATAAGAGATCACATTGTAAAAGATGAATATCTAACTTACCAAAGGTAGATCTACAAAAATATCAAAAAACCACTTCAAAGTTTGCTTCAAATTAGTTTTAAGAATCAACCTCCCAAGCTTTGATGTAGAGAATTAATGAAGAGAAAGTGTTTGGATGGAGGTTTAACTCAAAGATTAGTAATCTTCAAGGAAAAGCTTACTAAATTTTTTTGAAAATTGAGCTTTGAGTAAATTTGGTAGATGAAGAGAGTTGAGAGAATTTTTTAGCAAGGTGATTTTGGCTATCAAAAGCTTGAGAATTGAATGAAATGAGGGCTCTATTTACATGGTTTAGACTTGGAATTAGTGGTGGTTTGGAGTTTGGTTTGGAACCAAAATTAGGCTTGGTAATTGATTTTTGGAGCCAAAATGAAATCAACTGGTGCACATGTAATTATATGAAGGTGTATGATGGAATTTAATTATAATGAGGTATGAGAATTATTTTGGTAATCAATAATATTCTCTAAAAAAAAATATTTGAGCCAAAGGCTAAAAACATGAAAATTGCCTCTCTTTTTTCAAAATTCGTCTCAGGAAATCGATTTCAACATATGTGGTAATCAATTTCCATTGAAAAAACAAAAATCCTGGCACAAAAATAATGAGGAAAATCGATTTCCACAAATGGGATAATCAATTTCCACAGAAGAAAAATGCCAAAAAACTATGTTGGCTAGGTGCTTTAGCTTGGTACCTACAAAAGACAAATATACAAGAAAGTAAAGCATATATTTTTGGTATTTTAATTAGAGGTCTGTAAAATATGAAACACATATATACAAGATACACAATTAAGAAGCTTGGCGATCTCTTGAGAGAAAACTTAAATATAAAGACGGGAGTAAAAGAGATAACCAACTCAAATGCGTGATCTTGATGCATTATGATGAGATGAGATGAGATGATAGAGGATCTTAGGGGGGAAATTGAGGTATGACAGGTACACTGATTCAAGTTGGTGTAGTGATGTTGAGGATCGGAAATCCATAATAGGATATGTGTTTATGCTAGGTGGTGCACCAGATGCTTGAAGTTCGAGAAAGAAACCAGTAGAGGCATTTCGTTGTGCAAAGCCGAGTATATAACTGCTTCTCTTAGTGTATGTCAAGCAACATGGATGGTGAACTTGGTCAAAGAAATCATAGGGAAAGATCATAGAGCAATTACCATGAAGATCGACAACATGTCAACTATCAATCTGGCAAAGAACATGATAGCACATGGTCGAAGTAAACACGTCGAAATGAGGTTCCACAATCTTCGAGAGCAGGTAGCAGATGGGAAGATGAACTTGAAACACTGCAGAACTAAGAATCAGATTACAGACATCATGACGAAGGGTGTGCAGGTCGAAGTATTCTGAAGACTAAGAGCTAGGATGAATATAAATAGCTTAGACACAATGAATTAGGTGGTGTGTTGAAAGTGTAATTCCTTGTGTTGAAACATCATGTTGCTGGACACAAGGTGTGTTGAATTAGCTTAGTCAAAGAGAGTTGAGTCGTATTTCTTTCGAAGTATTGTAAGCACGTTGCTACACGGAATTTTGACCTAGGTTCAAAAATATGTATTTTGGATTTTTTTTTTATAGTTTTGGGCTTTTTGGTTTAGTGAGACAACTATTTTAAAACTATAAACAGTGAGAGTAACTCCTATTTTGTACCACATTGAATATTCACCGAATTTGCAGTTGAAAGCGTATAAGAAAGTTTTTTACAGTTTGTAGGTAGAGAGAAATTCTGCAAAAACCCTAAATCTCTTTTCTTCTTTAATTTTCTTTTCTTTTCATTGTCATTGTGTGGTGATAACAATCTTATTCATCAAAATTGATAAAAATTCATTATAAATTTAACTGAATTTCCAACAAAACCTTCATTGTTTACTATAAAAACAAATCTATAACAAGCATTAAAAAAATACAATTTATATATTCAAACATTTTATCCAAATTGGTCAAGATAAAAATGAGCGAAGTATAGAAACATGAACTTACCTTGAGGAAGAATAAACTAATTTGCTTCATAAAGAAATTGAAGCTGATTATGGAAAAAAAAAATTGAAAGGCAATGAGTGACGAGTTCTTACAAAAGAATATAATGGGATAAAGTTACTCAAAAGAAAGTGTTCTTCCATTGTTTGTCAATTTTTTTAGCGCTAAAGTGTACCACCAATTTAGTTGCAAAATTATTTAGTTGTGAATTGGAAAAATAAAAATAAATATATATAAATTAAAATTCGTTTAAAATAATTTTTCTCCCCTACATCCTATAATGTTTTCCCACATCACCCATTAAACCATGTTCACACCCATATCCTTTTAAACCACTAATTGGTCTATTATTTAAATATTGGTGCCTTTCATATATTTGGATTTGTAATATGACTTTTTCAGCTCTCTTCACTATTTTATCATCATATTATAGTATGTCACGTTTAGATTTTCAACTAATCCAAAACTCTCAACCTCCCTATTAATATTATGAGGAACATTAATTTTATTATTAACTTAAATCATTTTTCTTATTCTTGTTATATCCCCTTCATCTCATCTGTCATTTAATACTATTACTTGCTAATTAAAATATTTAATTAATTTTTTATTAATAATTAATCAATTAAAAATAGAAAATTTTAACTCTGTAAATAATTATAAAAATGACTAAAAATATGAAATGTAATTTTTTTTTAAAATGCCAATTTGCTTCCAATAGATAAATAACATAGTTATGATTAATTTCTTCTAGGTGCCTCCCTTCTTTCTATAACCCTAATAATCTTGAATTACAATATATTCACAATTTTGATTCAGCTGAATAAAAACTTTCAAGAATGAGAGTTCTAACAATTCTGAGTAAAAATAACTAGAGGATTAAATTATAAATATAAAATTAATTAATAGAGCTCAAGATCAAGAGAAGTGATGAAGATATGATCCACATCAAACTTAAAATTAATTTACGATTCATTAGAGTATCATTGATACGATGATACTTCCATTCCAGATTCAGCTGATTTAGGCTGACATATTAAAAACGGTAAAATTAAGACAAGTAGTATTAATGTTCATATTGCAATTAATAAATATTAAACTAGGCATGTACAAATAGTAGCAACAAAAGCAAAAGAAATAGAAATGAAACATAAATAATAAATGCTTAATTTAATAATAACTGCTCCAAAGAGAGCTTTGTACATAAACGTTAGAAATAAAATGCAGAAAAACTATGTTGGCAGGATTAATGCAATAACATAAGGGACATATTTGCTCCAAACTTAAAATCTAAAGTTCCAATATTACTCTATGGGACAAAATAATTTTTTTACAAAAGTGATTTTATGGCTACTACAAACTTCGATACACGAAAGCGGACAATTAAATTATAGAGCCAAAATCTGGTACTGATCATGCGAAAGCGGATGATACCTTCAACTTAATTCTTTTCGTACAAAAAGATATTTTCTCATTATAAATATAAGATTCGAATTTGTAAGTACTAACTTTCGACGAAAAGATTTTATAAGATTTTAAGTGAAAAACCTATTCAAGACCTATTCAAATGTGTTTCCTCCACGTGAGAACAATATTGATAAGATTTTAAGTGAAAAACTTATTAAAGACAAAGCTGTTCTAGAAAAGCTGATGAATAATCATACTATAGACATTGATATTGAGAACATAATGAATTATAATGCGTTAGAATATAAAGAGTCTAGAGAAGAAGAGTTTGGAGCTAATCAGGATGATGGCAACAAGGACCTCAACAACAATATTGATGATATTTCTCAGCTAGAATAGATTGAGTTAGAAGATAAGCATTATGAAGAACGTGGAGAAGTTAAATAAGAGATTAAACAAGATATTCAAATGGATTTACTTGAGGCAAGCAAAGAAGTTGTTAGTAAAAATAAAAGGCAAGAAGAGAATGACAATGCCAATGTTAACAATGAAGTTGAGATTAGCACTAAAGGTCTTCTGTCAGATGTCATAGACAATCTTGAGGACATTACGAAGGATGAACATTCAACCAAAAATAATGTTGAGTCTGATGTCTTTAACATAAATGAAAATCTTAATGTCCAGAATAAATTTGAATGACAAGATCATTGACAATATTAATAATGTTGTTCCTACTACTAATTGTATTGAAACCACAATAAAATCTGCAAAAAGATCTAAGAAAAGTGCTAGAAAAAAGAAATTTGAATAGAAAGTTTTGTCATAAATTGTATTATTTTTAGTAGTGTCGTGTATTTATTTATATGTTTTAATTTGATTCTTTGAGATGAGAAATATCTTTAGTTGGGATCAGTTCTTTGTGTTTGAGCAATCTAAGATATATGTTAGTTGAGCTAGGATATAATTAGTGATCTTTGTAATCATTTTGATTATAATAAAAATCTCTCCGTGTGAGAAAACCCCGCATAGCTCCAATTAAGGGGGTGAATTGGGATAAAAATTGCATGTTATCTCTCTTCTCTTCTCCAATTAAGGGTAGTGCTAAAGTATTGAAAGCAGTAAAGCACATACAATAGACTCTTTATTCAATCAAACAATAATACATAAAACATGTGAAAATTACACCATGATGACCAATGACTGTATCTTCACGTACACACCATTTAACACAGTAAATTAGGTCAAAATCCATTCTGATTATTGGCATCAAAATCAAATGCAATTGTTTCTTGTTCACCTCCATTCATCATTATTATTCATAGCCATCCCAACATGGCCATGACCCATCACCGCAATTTCTTCATTATTAGGCACGGTTGGATGTGGTGGCGGTGGTGGAAGTAGTGGCAGTGGTGGTGCTATTTGGAGATGACCATGACTCATCATTGCAATTTCTTCATTATTTGACGTGGTTGGTGGTGGCGGTGGCAGTGGAAGTATCAGTGGTGGTTCCACTTGGAATTGTTCTTGGCTTTGAGCGGGGGAGATTTGATTTTCACTTTGATTTTGATGAATAATATTTTCCCTATCACCTGATTCCATCCTTCTTCCAATAGCCCTCAAGTTATGATCAATCATCCAAGAAAGATCATTCAAATCACCTACCTGCATATTGTTCTGCACAATGTTTCCAGCATTGAGACACTGAAACATGAGCATGGCTGTCTCTTTCTCTTTGTTGTCTCTGCATTGCCTTTTGAGTTTCTTTTCAGCCTTCAAAATCCTTTCTTTCAGAAACCTCTCTTGATTCACCATCTTTTTGCTTTGTTCAAACTCAGGCACTGCCTTGAATTTCGAAAGCACACTTTCGACTCCAGACGAGGATGGCCAGATCTCAGGTTGAGGATCGTACGGGCCATAAATTATAGCGCAAGCATCGATACCGCAAAGGGTTGTTAGTTCATCAACCTTCTTCACCAAACTCTTCTTCCTTTTATTGAATGCTAATTTCCTTGCTTTATCATTCTCAATGAAAGCAAGTTTCACCTTTTGTCTAGTCATATGGTTTTGACAAGAGTAAGATGAAAATCGTTAGAGAAAAAGATGAAAAGTTTATGGTTGTGATTTTCGTTTTAAGCATAATGTGTTGTATATATACGTGGTTAGATGCATGTGTCTTTATTTTCCAACTGGCATTCCTTTCAATGGCAAAATGCGTTTTTTATTTTCATTCCATCCATGTAGATATACAAAATCAATGCTTTTATGACATTTCATTTTTAACATTTTACAATATTCAAAATATCTTTTGTATCGAGAATCGTATTCTCTATAGATTCATGAACTTGGATACTCATTCCATCTATGTAGATATTGAATATCAAGTGCTTTTATGACATTTTATTTTTATAACTATAATAACTAAATAAATTAACGGATGTAGTTGGTAAGCGGTTGGATTGCGTATAAAAATATATTTTTGTTGTTTTTTCAAAATATGTAACAAGAATCGTAATCTCTATAGATTCATGCACTTACATACTTTAATAGAATTTTATTTTACCGTTGGTTTTTAGTAATTATAAGTTCATGGTATATAACTAAAAGTTATTAAGTGTAATTGTTTAATAAAAGAGATTACTTTTTACATATTCATGATGAAAACTTTTTCATTCAATTAAATTGATCGCGACTTTATAAGTCTATCAGATATAGTGACTGCAAGTGCACAGTCTTATCGTGTAATTTTAAAAGATATTGAACTTATAAGGACGGGTGGTCAAACTACTGTTATCTTAGAATCACAATGTAAAGTTAAGGTTAATTATAAAATTTGGGTGTTTGGGTTTAATCGGGAGTTAACTAAAATTGGCATTTTATTTTCAGTATTAAAACACCGTTTCAATGGAAACCATTTATTTAAAAACCCTCGTCTCACACTTTCGTTCTATCAATCCAGGTCATATTATTAAACTCAAAATGAGCGCTTTCGCTGTTTCATTTTAAAATTCAAAAGTATTTTTTGAAAACAATTATAGTCCAATTAATTTTAAAGTGCTCTCGCTATTTTTAAATTAATGTTTAATAACCACTATCTGGTTAAAACCTCAAACTCTCGCTCTGTTGATTTTAACCTTAGACTGTCTTTTACTCTCATACAAAAACAATTAAATATCCAAATTGGAAATTAAAATCAGAAAGTGCTTTTGTAAAAAATATTAATGCCAATTAATTACCAAATCCCTTCGGTTAAGATTTACATACCGATATCGGGGAGTTTAGCCAAACATAATTTTATTACAGGACAACATAAAATCAAAACATAAATTTAATAATGCATGCATGGTAAAAACGAATAAATTATATTTTAAAATAGGAACCTGAAATTAAATAGTGAAGCAATAAATCTTAGCAGTGTGTATCCTCTACAAGCCGGCAGGATTGACTTGTACGAAATATCTTGAATTAAATAAAACGAACCTAATAAATTCTGGAAGCTATGAAAAAAACTAAGGTTGCAGTATCCCTCTGATGCGAAGAAATACTCCTTTGACGGTGTGGTTTTCTATGCTTACGAGAATTTTACGAAACTGGAAAACGGAGTACTAAAAACTATGAAACTGAAAGTAACACTAAAGTTGCAAAAACTGAAAACTAATAGCAATTACAATACGTAGAAAATAATGAAAATGGTGCAAAAGTCTTGACCCGAAAAATGTTGGTAACTGCCTCTTTTTATAGATTCCAAGAGAGAGCAAAAATATGAGTAATCCCCGAATCACCGTTCTTCATTGTGGAGAAAAATCTGGTCAAAAACCGTATGTTCCGCCTGCTTCGTGGAGATAAAATATATTTTTGTTATTTTTTTAAAATATGTAACAAGAATCGTAATCTCTATAGATTCATACACTTACATACTCTAATAGAATTTTATTTTACCGTTGGTTTTTAGTAATTATAATTTCATGGTATATTACTAAAAGTTATTAAGTGTGATTGTTTAATAAAAGAAATTAATTTTTACATATTGATGATGAAAACTTTTTCATTCAATTAAATTTATCGCGACTTTATGAGTCTATCAGGTGTAGTAACTGCAAGTGCACAGTCTTATCGTGTAGTTTTAAAAGATATCGAACTCACAATGACGGGTGGTCAAACTACTGTTATCTTAGGATCACTGTGTAAAGCTAAAGATAATTATAAAATTTGGGTGTTTGAGTTTAAACGGGAATTAACTAAAATCTAATAATTAATAACGGGACACCGGTATGTAATTTGTCAACTTCATGGATTCAATAAGTCATTGGTATTTTATTTTCAGTATTAAAACACTGTTTCAATGGAAACCTTTTATTTAAAATCCTCGTCTCATACTTTCGTTCTATCGATTCAGGTCATATTATTAAACTCAAAACGAGCGCTCTCGCTGTTTCATTTTAAAATTCAAAAGTATTTTTTGAAAACAATTAGAGTCCAATTAATTTTAAAGTGCTCTCGTTGTTTTTAAAATTAATGTTTAATAATCACTATCTGGTTAAAACCTCAAACTCTCACACTGTTGATTTTAACCTTAGACTGTCTTTTACTCTCGCACAACAACAATTAAATATCTAAATTGGAAATTAAGACCAGAAAGTGCTTTTGTAAAAAATATTAATGCCTGTTGTATCCCAAAATTTTTCTCTCATTTATCAAATATTGATGATGAAAACTTTTTCATTTAATTAAATTGATTGCGACTTTATAAGTCTATCGGGTGTAGTGACTGCAAGTGCACAGTCTTATCACGTAGTTTTAAAAGATATCGAATTCATAAGGACGGGTGGTCAAACTACTGTTATCTTAGAATCACAATGTAAATCTAAAGCTAATTATAAAATTCGGGTGTTTGGGTTTAATCGGAAGTTAACTAAAATCTAATAGTTAAAAACGGGACACCGATATGTAATTTGTCAACTTCATGGATTCAATAAGTCATTGGCATTTTATTTTCAGTATTAAAACACCGTTTCAATGGAAACCATTTATTTTAAAACCCTCGTCTCACACTTTCGTTCTATCAATTCAGGTCCTATTATTAAGCTCAAAATGAGTGCTCTCGCTGTTTCATTTTAAAATTCAAAAGTATTTTTTGAAAACAATTAGAATCCAATTAATTTTAAAGTGCTCTCGCTATTTTTAAAATTAATGTTTAATAACCACTATCTGGTTAAAACCTCAAACTCTCGCTCTGTTGATTTTAACCTTAGAATGTCTTTTACTCTCGTACAAAAACAATTAAATATCCAAATTGGAAATTAAAACCAGAAAGTGCTTTGTTAAAAAATATTAATGCCAATTAATTACCGAATGCCTTCGGTTAAGATTTACATACCGATTTCGGGGAGTTTAGCCAGACATAATTTTATTGCAGGACAACATAAAATCAAAACATAAATTTAATAATGCATGCATGGTAAAAACGAATAAATTATATTTTAAAATAGGAACCTGAAATTAAATAGAGAAGCAATAAATCTGAGTAGTGTGTATCCTCCACAAGCCGGCAGGATTGACTTGTACAAAATATCTTGAATTAAATAAAACGAACCTAACAAATTCTGGAAGCTATGAAAAAAAACTAAGGTTGCAGTATCCCTCTGATGCGAAGAAATACTGCTTTGACGGTGCGGTTTTCTATGCTTACGAGAATTTTACGAACCTGGAAAACAGAGTACTAAAAACTATGAAACTGAAAGTAACACTAAAGTTGCGAAAACTGGAAACTAATATTAATTACAATACGTAGAAAATAATGATAATGGTGCAAAAGTCTGGACCCAAAATTTTTTGGTAACTGCCTCCTTTTATATATTCCAAGAGAGAGAAAAAATAGGAGGAATTCATGAATCACCGTTCTTTATCGTGGAGAATAATCTGGTCAAAAACCGTCTGTTCCGCCTGCTTCGTAGAGATAAAATATATTTTTGTTATTTTTTAAAAATATGTAACAAGAATCGTAATCTCTATAGATTCATGCACTTACATACTCTAATAAAATTTTATTTTACCGTTGGTTTTTAGTAATTATAAGTTCATGGTATATTACTAAAAGTTATTAAGTGTGATTGTTTAATAAAAGAGATTACTTTTTACATATTGATTATGAAAACTTTTTCATTCAATTAAATTGATTGCAACTTTATGAGTCTATTGGGTGTAGTGACTGTAAGTGTACGGTCTTATCGCGTAGTTTTAAAAGATATCGAACCCACTAGGACTGGTGGTCAAACTACTCTTATCTTAGGGTCACTGTGTAAAGTTAAGGCTAATTATAAAATTTGGGTGTTTGAGTTTAATCGGGAATTAACTAAAATCTAATAATTAATAACGGGACACTAGTATGTAATTTGTCAACTTCATGGATTCAACAAGTCATTGGCATTTTGTTTTCAGTATTAAAACACAGTTTCAATGGAAACCATTTATTTAAAAACCCTTGTCTCACACTTTCGTTCTATCGATTCAGGTCATATTATTAAACTCAAAATGAGCGATCTCGTTGTTTCATTTTAAAATTCAAAAGTATTTTTTGAAAACAATTAGAGTCCAATTAATTTTAAAGTGCTTTCGCTATTTTTAAAATTAATGTTTAATAACCACTATCTTGTTAAAACCTCAAACTCTCGCTCTGTTGATTTTAACCTTAGACTGTCTTTTACTCTCGTACAAAAACAATTAAATATCCAAATTGGAAATTAAAATCAGAAAGTACTTTTGCAAAAAATATTAATGCCAATTAATTATCAAATTCCTCCAGTTAAGATTTACATATCAATATCGGGGAGTTTAGCCAGACATAATTTTATTGTAGGACAACATAAAATAAAAACATAAATTTAATAATGCATGCATGGTAAAAACGAATAAATTATATTTTAAAATAGGAACCTGAAATTAAATAGTGAAGCAATAAATCTGAGCAGTGCGTATCCTCCACAAGCCGGCAGGATTGACTTGTACAAAATATCTTGAATTAAATAAAACTGACCTAATAAATTCTGGAAGCTATGAAAAAA